TGCTACTGCTGCTGCTGCTGCTACGGTTACGGCTACTGTTACTACTACCACCACCACAACAACCACGACGACATCCTGCTCCTCCTTTTCCTCTTGATGCTGCTGCTGCGGCTGCTACATTACCCAGTGACAGAAAAAGATGTCCGGTTCTCGGAAAGGTCATGGGCTCCATTGACGAAGTCTAGTAACAGATATCCTTGATAAAAATTAAGCAAGGGACGCGGCTTTCCGCCACCATGCTTTCAGTCCGGACACACGAACGCTCTGGTCCGAATATGATCATGTCTCAACTACACCATATCGGTGGTTGTTTTAGTTTTGCCAAACCCGAAACTTAAAGAGGGCGCAGGCAGATGCCCTGAACCCTAAACCCCAAAATAAATTCTTAACTCTACTGCCATGGCTTCTGAGATCTTCTAAGCCTGCCTCCGGGGCGCCTGGCTTCTGCGGCACGCGTGCGGGAACGAAGACCTCGACTCGTCACCACTGGCTAGGACTTTGAGCCATACTCTTGAGCATACTATTCTATACTACGAGTACAGTGCCCCAAGAAGGGCCACCAGCACCGGAACACAGACGACCGGAGGAAAGAGAAGTTTGAGGCTGCCACGGGCGCTGACGGAGGCGAGATGCTGCTCCGCGGTCCGTTAGATGCCTCACGGCTTCCGCTTTGATGCTTTGGGCGTTGGGTTTCAGTAAAAGTTCAGGGTTCTTTTGTCAGGGTTTTAAGCGAAGTTTAGGGTTGGAGGCTCTCCGGTGATCCATACAAGCCCACCAAACATTCATGCATGATCCTATCGACACTGCCGGGCCTCCACCGAGAAGATGTATGTACGATTTGGATCCACCTCAGCAGGAAGCCGTGTCTAGGATCCACCGATCATATCAACGTCTATCGTACGATGTATGAATTTTCCATAGTGAATACCGCTGCCATTGTTCAATTTTCCAGATCAAGTTCGGTGCTCTGTTTCTAAAACGCGACAGAATGACGAAACAAAACTCAGCTCTGTTCAAGCTAAAGCCAATTCCAGCTGCAGCCGAAGCACCGCTATGTGACAGGAGCACAGGCTGCCCGGCGGCGGAAAGTGGTGACTGCGCAGGCTGTCGAAGCAACTGTGAGAAGCTGCGAGCTAACCGCACTGCAGACTTCTGAGATACCTGAGTCTCTGTTTTCTGCGACGGCAGCTGCCATTCTGGGAACCGTACACACCCTAAGCTTGCTTGCCTAGGTGATCCACGCTCCGACATGGGGTCGCAACCCTGGAATCTCTGCCGTGGGCCATCTTGTAACATAGTGGGTTGAATGGGCGTGGCGAAGACTTGTCGTGTGAGTGAGACGAAAACGGTCGCCACTCCTAAGGCCAGCGATGCCCAGCGTCCAAGGAACTTGCTTGGGCCTGGGAATGTGGCTTGAGAGAGACCCCTCCCAGGAAAATACGGTGACTCTTGCTCTGCGTCGGAGATTCGCTCAGTCCAACCCATCTGATAATGGGATGGGGCTGCTACGGCAAGGCCACCGCTTCTCCTGAGATTTCTCCTACCCTACACATCCACAGCTGGTCACACCTCACTGCTGCGGCAGGACGAAGACGTGGACGTGTAGCTCATAACCTTCATGTGCATCCAGAGTCTTTGGTGCTGCTCAAACACGACGACACGATTTGTTTAAGTTTATGTCTGAAGCAGTTCTCAAAGGTGATTTTAAGCCATCTCCCTGTGCATCGGTTATTGCATACTCCTGCTCATGCAATACTGACTTGATGTGCGTACTCACATACTCGCATGCACTCCCTCTCGCGAAGTTCAGGTTGTCCAAGCGCTTTGTGGCGGTCCACAGGGCCCGAAGCAAGGTTCCCGTCGCAGGTACGTTTTCACAGGATGGGGAAGGGTGTTTTTGTGGACGGACCCCTGCTACGCCCTTCCTGACCTTAGTTATTCGGTGCCCAGTGAGAACAATGAAACGACTGTCAAAAGGACACTAATCATGATGATATGACTGCAAAGTAAGATTGACATGAGTTCAGTTCTTCCTGTTGCAAGCGGACTGCTCCATACACCCACACATGCATGCACAAGGGGGCTGCATCATGCCTGTGCATTCATCGACATACATGCAGAGACAGTGCAGCTCAGGCACAGTTCATTGTCAAGCCTGCGCTCTACTGCTGCGCACAAAGTCCTGAGCTGCGAGCTGACCATCCGCGAATGATGGTCAGCCATTTCTTTCTTCCCTTGTGCGGTCACATCCGATTCTGCTGATCAGTTGCCAGGCGACTGCATATACAAGAATGATATTGAACAATCCCCGTCCATCAAGCGCAATTGCCACGAGATGTGATGCAGCAAGGCCACGACAAATTCGTCGAGAATCACTGGCCATGCACCATTTTGCAGATCGTAGTCCTCGGATTGCGGCACCGACTGCTTACCCATGTGAAGGGAACTAGACCTGCCTGCGGACAGCGAATCGCCATAGCTCAAAACAAGAGCGAGTGTCTGATAAGTCCGGCTTGACCTGCGTCGCCAGGTCAAACAACATCATCCACGTGTCCTTGCGAACTGTAGGCTGCACACAGACAAAACATCCCTGGTCTTACAGTGTCGGCGCCACAAGATGATAGCTATGCAGCCAGGCGTCTTTCGACACGTGGTTCTTCACATTTTGCCTCTCAACATGAAACAGGTTGAGCAGAGAGACCGCTGCACCCAAAGGCTTCCAGCACACCACTGCCCCTTGCACCGTGTGTCTCAACTTGCAACAACCTTTCGACCGAGATGCTCCACCCAACCGATCCAGGTCTCGAGCAACGAGAAATGTGCCGGCAGCAAGAGCTTCCAAAACTCTATGCACATATCGACGGGAAGGCAACCTCAGCGGAGTATCACATACCATCGTCATATCGCGTTGGATCGCACCGGTGATCAAACGCTGCAAACGCGATTCCCTTTGAGATCCTTGCGTTGGCCTGCCAGATACGAGGCTTTGCAAGCGCTCGCTACAAGTGAACAGTTGCGCCACAGATTTGCAAAATGCATCCGGCATCGCACCGCATTTATGCAGCGCAGAACATTCGCTGACGGGCCTTGATCTAGAGCGAACTGAAACGTAAATGCATAGACCTGCATGGCCAAGGATGCTGAGTCACTGACAGGTCCGAATTGAACATGCTAGAAACCGGCACAGTGAACATTTGGAATGCTTGAGTGTTGGCCATTGAACGAGCGGACATGCGATCTGAAAGCTGAAGGCTGTGCAAGCAGTACTGCAAAAGTCTCAAAAACCTTTCATGGCGCCACCTCTTTGCAAGCTCCGCGATCTTGGAGAGCCTCCAATCGTGCTGGCTTGACACAACAGAAAGTCGCAGTGAGCTACGACACAGCACCTGCAAACTTCTGCTGCTGCTGACCTCGCTGTGATCTGCGCTGGCCACTGCAGCCACTGCAAGAGTCTGGACCCCACATCTTGAACTATCGGTCAAGGGGCTACAAAACCCACCATCTGAAACAGAACCCTCCAAGGCAGATATTCTCAACACTCCACGGAACCCGAAGTCGCGAAGCAGAGGTCTGAGCTAAGGCCCTGGACTGTCCTGCCGCATCTCTGGCAGCTTAGCACGGAGCTTCGGCAACTCGTCGGATCCGAGGCGCTGCATACCAGTCTGAAACCTGACATGCTCAGCTCTCAGTGTTGCGCTGAACCCTTGGTCAAGCAGGCTACGCTGTGCCGGGGGAGGCGGTGGGAGAGCAGAGCTTGCACGGAAGGCCGGCGAATGACGAACACGATCAGAGTCCAAGGAAGGATAACACGTGCACTGCACTGGAGCTATATGAACTGAGCAGTACCCAAAGCCATGGGGAAGGGGGCAGGGCCAGAGTACATCCGCAAAGGGGTCGGGGAAGCACACAAAATCACCAATCGGCACACACATGCATCTCAGTCTCAGGTGACTAAGTTGCAGACTCCTCCCTGCTGAAGACACCCATCCTGGTTGGCCAGAGCTGAATATTGACATGCTGAGCGTGACTCGATCCTGATGTGTGTTGACTGGAGGTTTTGCATGGGAGGCTTCTTCATGTGATCTCAACTCGGGTGAGATCTAGTTCATGCCGTCTAGACTAGAGTCTACACACATCCAAAACTCTGGAGTGATTTTCAAATTGCTGAAGATCGCTAAGCTCATGTCAAGGAGCTGCTGTGCTCGGCAGTGCCACGCAAGAACCAACGTCACAGGATCAAGGGTCGAGATGCCCAGATCAGTGCAGAGCTCCTGAAGTGCGGATGGCAGCATCCAAACGTGAGCGGCGAACCCTGCACGGCATCGCTGGTAAGGAACATGCAAAAACAGTGGCCGTTGTCTTTGGCGCTGCTTCATGGAGTTTCGGCGTGAGTCAAGCTAGCCGAGTCTCCTCGATGCCTTCGGGTCTAATCGTCTGATCCTGCAGCTGTGGACCGGGAATCTCACGAGAAGTTTGTGGGCTCAGAGCCGCAAGGGTCGAGGACAGCCACACAGCATTTCACAGCACAGGCAAAACAACCTCCGTGGAAGCGTACTTCCTGAAGAACGCATCCAGCTTCCTGAGATGCCCGGTAAGTTCTCATGCGCAACCCCGGCTAGCTTCCCAAAAAAAGGTGTGAACTCCATCAGATGTGTGCAAACTGGGTAATTCGGCAGTAATTCGGTGAGTTCTTCCGTTTCGCGATGGCGGGCTAAAGTATATGCGGCAGGGCTTCGGGATGCATGCAGTCCCCGGACCGTTCTCCCAGCACCCGTCTAACGCGCAGAGACAGAAATTGAAAGCCATGTGTGAACTCCATGTAGTACTTAGTTACTTGCAACTTGCAACGACTCGAAGCTGACGAGGCTCTTTGCATCCAGATGCTCTTGCGGGGCAGAACCGAAAGAGTTGCCTTCTGCGAAGAAGACATCCAACGCTTGGTCCAGGGACCAATTGAGGCCTGGACTAGGCTGAAGGGTCTCACCGACACTGCGTGGCGATGAGTCAGAAACTCCGTAGCTTGCCCAAAACCCCAGCAACAAAAAAGCTCTTCCTTCTCAGCAACTGAGGGAGGTGCGTCGGAGAAACTCCTTGCCAGCAGACAAACCACGTGACATCTTTTCTACCACCTAATGGCTCTGATAAGATGGAATCACAGCCAGTCTAGATGTCCACATGTTGACCGATGCTCGGGCAATACAGTACTCTGGCTTGCTGCGAGGCGGCCATGGCTAATCTCTGGGGGGCCCCCGTGATCTGCTGGAAGTTCGCAAGCTTTTCCCCTTTCAGTCACGAGAACTTTCAAGCAGGGACAAAGGATGACAGTCAAAGGGAAACGGGGCACCAAGGCAAATCTGACGACTTTCCTTTACAGGCGCACTTAGTCACTTGCGACCGGCGACTTCCTGTGACAGCATAATCTGCCATGGCACGCTGCGAGCGGTTGAGCCCACTCAAGTTGCCTGACCTGGGTAGAGGCGCAAGCCTATTACCCAAACAACCTCTTCAGCAGCTGTAACAAGCCACATGGAGCTACAGCCCGAATCGAGCAACGCAGGTTCAGCTGGGACCGACATCTCGGGCGCCCACATACCAGGCGGACCAGCCCGCTACGGCCTCCTGGCCTTCTTGGCACGCCCGCAGCTTGCTATGAGCTACGAACCAGATCCTATGACTCGAGCCCAGAGCCATCATGGCGTGCATGCCATCGTAAATGTTCGGGCCATACTTGGTGTGTGGAGCTTCCGTCTGGCAGGGAGGCGCCTGGAGACCTCTGCACACCAGGACATGGAAGATGCCATGACCTGCAGCGCCAGCGGATTGCCTTTGTCCAATCGCGACAGCTTTCCCAGGCTGTATCCCTAGCATCTGCCGGCCTGGATGGATCGGAGGATGGCCCCTGGCGACGCAGAAAGCACAACCATGTGGGTCCTGGGCCCTTTGACCTGCAACTCAGCAATGGTTTCGATTCGAAAGGGATCTAGCGACCGTGGGCGCAGTCGTCAAAATTCTTGCACATGGCAGGCAAAAGTTTCAGCCCGAGCCTCCCAATTATAAATACCAAGCCCAAACCCCGTTTCAAGCTTACACTCGAAAGCTGCCAAGACATAAGAACTGACTGACTGCTGCGATCTCAAGTGCTGTTTTCCGTTCTGGCACACCTTCATGGCTACTCAGCACAGATGCAGTGGAATGCGAACCCTGACAGCTCATCAAGCGGCACTGGAGCAATCTTCCGGCTGGAACACCTGACTTGGGAAGGCTCTCGGTCGCATCTTCGACATCTGGAGCATCCTCGCAGCAGGAGACCAAGACGTCGCCAAAAACGTCGCGATCACCACTATTCTGCCATACAACTACCCTGACCTTCCACACAAACGATGTCCCCAATCTTCCCAGAACAGACTGGCAAAAGGTGCAGAGTTGTGGCATGAACTGACGACACATGGAAGGGAAGCTGCATCATGTACCACGCGGTCATATCAACAAATTTCAGAAATGTTGACCTGCACCTGTGCTGTTCACTGACACGATGGCTTTCTTGGATCCCGCCCGTCCTCGCAAAGCTCTTCTTCCCCGTGGATCGTGTAAACTTGCACAGGCTGTCCCCCGTCGGAGGCCGGAGATATGAACCTGAGTCATCCAAGCAACAACATCCTGAGTCTTAAACCGAGAGAGACTAGCTTGGGCTTGCAGCTCGTGTGCTGCAAACTCGAAGTCGCTTGCAGCTCAAAGGATGCACTCTTGCCACATGCACACAAGAAGAATCCTTCGTATCCTTCAATCCTTAGATGGCCCATGCGGGGGTCTGAAAATGGGCCAAGGTCGCAATACCTGAGGCCTTAGGAGTCCGGCTCCAACTTCACCACATCCAGGTCCGGACTCGCCGGGCCTGCAGAGGAGCCACACAGTAACAGTAGGATCAGAGAAGCGGACAGTGCTGTTCACTCGCTGAACTTGTCAATGCGGCTTTCCAGAACTCAAAGGGCGCTTCCGATTCATGGAGAATCGGCCTTCGCCAGCGATGCAGATGCAGGCCTGGCTGGTCCTGGCCCATCCTGCGCTTGTGCTTCCAGTGACAGCTGAGTTCGATCATGGCGAAAACACGCGACTGCACCTTGGTCCTTGGTATCAACCGAAACCCGAATCAGCTGCACTCCGACATGCATCCAAACATCATCAAAGTCCACATCTTTAGTCGAGGACAAAACCCGAACCCTGGCCCGGCCTGGCATCAGCCGTGCCCGGAGATGTGAGGGAGCTGCAGGCGCGGCGCATGCGGTTGAGACCTGTCTCCACTTTGTCGTTGCGTCTGGTATTGGCCTTCTGTAGTTACCGGGATGGCGAAAGCACGCGACAAGTCTGCAGCTCGGTCTCGGTCTTTCCAGTCTTTGGCTGCTTGGCTTTGCCTGGCCTCGATCGTGGACGGGGCACCGCTCACACCAGCAGCAACGGCGCAGACCTGTCGAGGAGACCCTGCGACTGCCGATGGCGAGCAAGCGAGGAAAGCAAGCTGAAAGATTCGAAGCTCAGCAGAAAGTCCCACCTCCACTGTGTAATCTGAACCCGGCGCCAACCCGGAGAAGCACTGTTGTGTGCTGTGGCACCTGCTGAACTCAGTGCCAACGTCCAGAAACTTCACTGTTGGGGGCCTGCTTCCCTATCCGCGTTTCCACAGAGCAATGCCGAAGAACCGCTTCCGAAGAGCCCCGGAGCACACTCCAAGCCCTCCGGGCTCCCGGCAATATCGTGCTCTTACCATTTGCGAGGCGCACCTGGGCAGATGCTCGCAGCCGTACAGTAGCATGTTTCATTGAGAAGATGCAACTGGCAAAAAAAAACAGCACTTCGCTCATTGCGGGACCTTGCGGGACCTCCAGCCTCACCTGCCTTCCCCCAACCGGCCTGGGCCCTCTCGGCAGGCACCCCCTGAGCACGCTTCAGGCAGAAAGTGGGATGTCGGTCTGAAAACCTTGAACGAGGTACTATTGTCGCTTTGAAGAGCGTCTGGTTCACGTATCGGCAATCTCAATCTTCCTAGGTCTTAGGTCCTAGCCGAACGATGGACCATCTGAGTAGAATATCAAGCTCGGAATCTCGCTTGACGGGCATTCGCCAAACCTCGCCTCGTCCTTCTGCGAACGGTTCAACAAGTGCACCTTCATGGGGCTGCCGGTGCAAGCTTTCAAAGGCACTTCTCATAAACTCTCAGCAAGCATCGCCACATCCAGCCTAGGCAACTCCTGGGATTCACAGGGGGGGAGGGGGGGGGGGCGAAAGTAACAGAGTAACAGCTTGGAGAGATTGTTTCTGTCAAAATATGTCGTTCTTGCCTGCCTCGTAAACTTCGACAGGATTGCCACCATCATCTCCAGGTGGTTGCCACTCCACCGTGAACTTAGCAGGCGCATGGCGCATGGCGCACGCAGTCTCGCTGCAATACGGTCGGAATGGCGATGCTAGGGGGCCAACCCCGTCAGCTCGTGGTTCGCCCAGGAGTCTCAAGCAAACCTCTGTGCGACAGGCATAGGTGGAATCCGCAAGCACCTATTGATGTGTCCAAGGGCAGCTGGGGCCCCGGGCCACGGACGAGGGCGGCTCAGCGGGCGTGCAGAAAGTCTCGGACATGCCGGGCTCAGTCAGTTGAGGCCTGAGCCGAGCAAGGACAGCCAAGTCTGCACGCACGGTGCATGCAGGTGTGCAAATTCATGTGTACATGTCTATGCATGCTCGAGCAGGCATAAATACATATATACATATATACATATATACATATATACATGGTAGCTCTAATTGTACCATGTGTGTGTAAATAAAATGCGCGCATACTCACAAATGTACATGCATGTGTATGTACATGTATGTGTATATCTATATATATATACATATACATAGACACATATGTACATATGTACATGTATACATGTATACATATATACATGTATACAAAGGCACATACATACATATATACATATATACATATATACATATATACATATATACATATATACATGTGTGCATATATACATATATACACATATACACATATACACATATACACATATACACATATACACATATACACATATACACATATACATATATACATAATTACATATATACACACAAACATATACATATATAAATATATATGCATATATATACATGCGTACATATATATATATGTACATATATATATATATGTACATATATACATATACACACGTATACATATATGCATATACATACTATGTACATAAATACATATATATATATATATATATACATATATGCAAATATATACATCTATACATATACATATATATATATATATATACATTTGCTACCCCCGCCCCCGGACGTACCTACCTATTTCGTGTGTTTATGCCACCGGCATGTGGCTGCAGAGCTTAATCTGCATAGGCGCTGGCGACCGCCGTTTAGCATGTTTGATTGTACTGCTCGCAAAATGTCATGTCTGACCCATTCCCTGCAGCTTCGCAGTCAAACGGTGTTGGCGATACATCTGCTATTGCTTCTGTTAGAACGAAAGCCTGGCCAATATCAAGTTAATATTTGTTGTGGAATGGTTCACATGTAACAATCAGATATTATCATGAAATGTAACATGCAATTTCAACTGGCACAGCTAATCGGTGCAGTAGTACCAAAGAGACAGAGAACCAACCACGCAGTGACAATTAAGCGCTTGCTGTTTCCTCAGTAGTGACTACCACTTCTGTCATTGAGAAAAGATACCAAAAAAATATGTGAATACAAAAAAAAAGTATTCACCAGCGACTAAGCCTTGGAATGCCGTATGCATAACTGGGACCTTACGAAAACTTCGTTGCGTACATTTCTTTTGGAAATACTTAGACGATGAAATAGCTGTTGGGCGAGATCTCAAGGAAATGAAGCATATAGTAGTGGAATATTGCTGAAGCGTATGTGAACATCACATGTTCGATCAGTATAAAGTGACTACTTACAGGTTTCTCTTTGTTAATACGACTTACATACTATAAGCCGAATTACTCGGCACAGAACATCAAGGGGCATCAAGACATGGGCAGTACATAGGCAGCACTCGATGCATAGAAAGGTTAGGACATGAGATGCCAAGCACTAGGTCGTGAACCTTAGGGTTTTAGGGACGTCCAGTCTCGACTTTGACCCGCCCGAATCCAGGCCCGAACCGATCTGCCGGACCGCTCTCAAGCACCACCTTGGTGGCTTGAAGCTTTTGCTGTAGGAGAGGAACCCTGATAATCAGTGCTCAGAGGCTGCACTTTAGATGCTTCATTTAAGGCAATGTAAGACGAGGCCGGGAGCAAGCTCCGAGCTCCGTGCCTGAGCCCTGAAGGGGCCAGCCGACTTGGGGAGGCTGCCTCGGGCCAGGACAGCAAGGGGCCAAGTTCAAGGTCGTGACACAGTGTCACATGGGAGTCAACCTGCCACGAAGTCTTGGGATCACACAGAGGTGGCCAGTGGGTGTCTTGTTTATGATGAACCCTAACCACATGGTTTGGAACGGCCACAGTTCGAGTCATGATTGGGTTCTGGCTCAGGTCCGACTTTTGAGCATCGGTTCTTCCAGGGTTTGCGCACTGGCCCAACCACATCCTTTGCTGGGCTACAGACCCCACCCGCCCGACCCACGCTGTAAGTCCGCTTCAGCACATAATTACTGTTGGAGTCCCGTCCGAATCGTGTGCGGCGCTTGCTCTAGACCTTTCTCTGTCCAACCAACTAAAGCCTTGTGCTTTGCAAGAGATGGCTGCTAAACAACTTGCCAAGACTTCCGTAGTCTTACAGTGCCAACACATGATGTTTCCAGAACCAGACGAGGTAATCAAAACCCATGCTGCTTCTCGCGCTACGAAGACGAATTCAGAGGGTGCATCCGAAAAGCCCCTGGCAAAAGCCTAGTAGGCGGAACCCGCCTGCGGGCAGCTCGAAGGACGCTGCGTCCCCGGAGGCCTGTGCATTAGAGCAGCGGGCTCAGGGAGTTGCAGTGCCTTGTGTGAACGGCCCGACGGTCCGATGCTGTTTGCCACCAACCACGGACCACACTTGGGTTGCTTTCTTGCTCACTGCGTGGCCTCGAAGAAGGCAAAGGGAAGAGAGCTACCTGCCACAGGATGGGCAACATGATCCAAACGCCCGCAACTAACTATTTTCCAGACATGCGATACATACATAGATGTGACGAGGCAACACATGCACAGCTGTATGTGCGTTTATGCAGATGTTGCCTGAAACTCTTCCAAAACAACTAGCTCTGGAAGTGCCATCCTGCTCTGTGGCAACTAGATTCTCCGAGCCGATGCATGCTACCGAATGGCTGCATAACCTATGGCGGCCTGGTCAACATTGGACCAAGTTGATCGACACACCGCAGCTCGTGCCCGCCTTTCTTCTCCAACAATACGTCTATATGCACTTTCCGTGCGTCCTGCAGACCCAGCTCGCGATTCAAGAGAACTCAGCAGCACTACATGTTCCATCTGATATGATAAGGAAACCTCGAACCACTTGTCAGCACACCTGGTTGTTGGACCAGAAGATTGTTGCTGAAGATGGCGTTATCTCGGAGACCTGGCTCTCTTTCAGGTTGGGTCGCTTGGCCTGTCTGTCATCCACTCATCTGACTGTTTATCCGTCCACTCATCTGCCTGTTTATCCGTCCATGTGTTCATCCAGACGCCTCTAGCACCCCGCCATCCCTCTATCCATCTATGCGCCCCATGAATTAATGTGCCTCCACATGCCGGCACACAGCCAAGCATCTGTACATCTATGCATGCATGGATTGCCATCTGATCGTCTGTCTTACTGTCGGTCTGCTTCTCAAGTGATCTATGATCTATCTACATTCGTGTTGATGTGTCTGTCCATCGATCGTTCAACATGGAAGGTCTGCCATCTGCTGACCTGTGAACACTCGCATATCTAAGACTTATGTGGCTGTCGACTTACCAAGCCAATTGCGTCTACCCATCCATGCGTGCATGCATGCATGCACAGGCACGTGCTTGCAGACGGACAGACCGACGGAATCCACCCGTGCAAACAGTGGTTGAGTAGGTTCTTGCACAGTGCACAAGGGGCACATACATGCATGCGGAGACAGACATTCGCAAGTGGCTAAGGGTTGAGGCTCTCGGAACGACCTGGCAGCAAGGGCCATGGACCGGCGTGGTCGGTTGGCACTTATCTCTCACATCGGAACCCACGCAACGCACCAAGAAGTCAATGCCGGAGCTACCAGCACATCGGGGCCTTTTGGCAACGCCTCACCACACCTTCCAGAAATTTTGAGCTGGATCCAATCTTTTGAATCTCCGTCTCTTCACAGGCCAGGCAGCAGCCGCCTGAATCCACTCGCCCGTGGTGCCTCTGCTCACACGGCACACTCATCAACATGCACATGTTTGCTGATGCCACGGCTGTGAAGCATCAGCCCGTAGCAATTGCACCCAAGAGACGTCACTTCACCTAAGGCCCCGATTCTGGGTGGCGGACCGGTCGAGCCGGAGGCACGATTCGCACGAAGTCGGTGTGGCGGTTGGGCTGCGGTCAGGCAGAGGGTGCAACACAGATTGTTGTCACCTAATTATCTGGATTCTCAACGATTCTCACTTCTGATTCTGATCATCAGTTCATCTTCAGGTTTATGCAAGTCTATCTCTTGCATCGAGCTGGAGAAATCGAAACATGCAGTGGCAGGCGACGGGTGCCAACACAAATTGAACTATCTCAAGAACCCTTTGCCTTCTGTACGTCGGATGTCGCATCCTTGCACCAATCCTTCCGACGTGACAGGCTGCTAGCTGTCTCCACATCTGGACTCAACATGTCTTCCTCGCAGGGAAGTCAAGCGCCATGGACAACTGCAGCTGGCTTCTCAGCCTTCGAGGACGAGGAACCGCCTGGACTTCGCTCCTTTGGCCTGGCCGACAACAATGGAGTTAGGATATGTGCAGATTGAGCATTCGGCAAGGCCAGCTGGGGTATGCACGAATCATCCGGCACAGCAGAGGCCTTGCAACAGGTCATGTCACGCGACTGACGTGGTGCCCACGTGCCCGCCCTCACTCAGCAGTCCTGCTGTCCCATCCACACGCTGCGAGCTTCTTCCTCAGATGTGCACCAAGAAATGTCAAAGTGGACCAGCAGGCAGACAACAGCACGTTGAGGCTTCAGCAGGGCTCTGGAATTCCAGGCAAACGCTTGGACAAATATGAACTATTGGCAAAATGTTGGTGCGCCTTTCGGCTCAAGAGGGAAGGAATGCTCTACAAATAAGATATACCGGTGGTATCGAACCACTGCCTTGGCGTGACCAGGATCTCGCTGCAAAAGCGTCAAATCAATGATCCATGACACTACCATGCCGCTATGCCCTTGGTACTGGAGTACACGGCAGGCGGCAGTCAAGATACGCGCTCTACTACAGTGCAGGGCTCGGGGCAATGGACTTCACCTTGGATCACTTGGCACCACCAAGGCTGACAATGGCCCCATCCAAAGTTTTCGCTTCTGCCATACAACGCGTCGAAGTCCCGTCACTTCGGGTCCTCCAGGCCCTCTTCCTTTGGCAAGCCCTGGCACTTGTGTGACAACTTCCGCAATCACCCAAGCAACCGGCTGCAACCTTCCCGACAACGAAGCAGGTGATCGCATGCATGAGGAGACCGGGAGGCCCGATCAAGTTACAGAAGAGCACCTCCAAGAAGGGGCTGCTGAATGGAGCTGCGGCTCGAATGAAGCTGCGAAGCGTTTCAGCTTTCAGGCCCTCGCAGAGTGCGAGGTGAAGATACCGCGACGCAGGCCATCAAGGTAGATCCAACCTCGCTAGCTTCACTTGGCAAGACGGCTTGCTCGCTGTTGGCTGGGGCGACGACGCCCCACGAAGAGGTCCCAGGCCAGGACATGTGCCCACTCCTCCGACACGAAGCCTGGACCTTGGAACTTCCGATCATAGACAGACAGGAAATGGTTTATTGAGACCGGTTAGGGCTAGCTGATGGCACCCGGCAGACAGCTTGTGGAAACAAGATACTCGAATGCAGGCAGATTTTCAACCCTACATTCGACTCTACATCATGGGCCAGCAGTTGATGCAGGCTTGACTAAAAACAAAAATCACCTGCCTCGAAGCCTTCTGCTTCCGATCGCATCTACAGCCTACAGCCGTTACCTCTTATGTACCGCGGGTGGGCAAGGCATAAGCAACAATAGCCTGAAGTTGGTATGCATTGCACCCAGTGAAGCTAATTTGCACTTCGACAGGAAGCTGCTCCAGCAGGTTCTATATGCAGATAAAATCAAAGCGATGCGAGCAAGTCGATGCTCATCGCTGCTAGCTGCAGTGGATAATGCTCCCTAATGCGAATTCTCTACCTGCAAGGCAAGTCCGGAGAGAACTCCCTGCCCCGCCCCGGCCCTACACACGACCTCCTGCATTTAAGCTTCTCCTTCCAAGCGCTCAGACATGCCCATGCACAGGAAGAGATTTCGACCGACACGCTGGGACACACCCTCTTTGCCCTGTTGTTGCAAAACGCTAGGCGTACAGCCTGCTTTTGCAGAAAGAAGCTTCCCCATGCGATTATCAATTGCGGGACCGATGCTGCCTCTACTGCGACTGCTATTGTCCTTCCACGACGACCACTCCCTGGTTCCACGATTACTGCACATTGTCCAGGATTCTTTCAGATCCATGGAAGCTGCTGAGGTCTTCAGTCCATCTCCGGCTGAACCTTGGACAGCACGCAAGTCGAAGCGAATGCATGCCGTTTGTTTCCGACACATCTTCCAAAACCTCTTAAACGCCTTGCTTCTGAGGAGCCACGAGTACAGCATGCAAACAGACATGCACAAACTGATTCTCTCGCGCATTCAGACCACTTCAAGTCCTGAAAACCTAGCTCGCCCCTTTCCAATCTGGAACGTCGCTTTTCCTGCTGCAAAAAGACATGGCAAAAGGGTCATGCAGAGCGTTCGGGTATACTGCATCCCCAGATCATCATGGCAGAGGAAGCCAAGAGACTCATTACAAGGGGCAGCCTCGCGTCGAACGCCGAATTTCGCCAGCGAAGCACTTAAATCGAAACTTCAGGCTGGGAACCCTGAGGAAGGGGAAAGAACTCCTTGCAAGAATGGCTTTTCAGGATATGTTGGAAAAAGGAGCATCTGCCAGTGCCAGGCCTTACTGTTGCAAGAGGCCTGTACGGGTGCCCTGGCCTTCTGCAGTCTGCACCCGGCCGGTGAAATCCTCCCTCTGGGGGCACATTAACGCTTTGCCAGGCGCGCCCTGACGTTGCCGGGTGAAACTCCTAGGACCTAGGACCTGCAGCCAGCAGTGGGTCCAATAGACCGCAAGCCGGTCTTTACAAACACTTCGCAGCTAAGCCGACGATGGCAGGGGTCCCTCACCACCTGCAGCCCTGTCGGCCCAGAGCACGTTACCCTTCAGTTGATGGCGAAGAGGCACACTTCGAGATCAGCCTGTACCGAACCTTCACCTGCCAGCGCCACGGCTCAGCAACTTGACACTCTCCCGACTCTTCCTCTCGCTGCCTTCATTGAGCTTCAATGTTCGCACCGTGGGCTTGGCGTCAATTGCAGCCGCAGCATCGCCCACCGATGTGGTGAATGTCGCCTCACAAGGAGGGGAACCCACTCAACACGTGTACAATTCTCGGCAGGAATTGAGTGTGGAAGACTTCGGCTAGTCCCAAAAGTAAGAATCTGGGATTCGTGTTTGCTCGATCTTGTGGCTGCCCTGTCATGTAATACCGCAAGATCCCGAAACGCCGCCATTATCAGCAGCAACAAGCTCTCTCTAAGAAGGCTAAACGGATCATGACTTCACCCTTTGAGCCAAGTTGCGTAGGGTTTCATCTTTTCATCCAGCGCCTGACTTGCACGGGGTCAGTCAGATCGAACTACAAGCCTGAGCTTGTGAACCAAACGGATCAGCATGGGCCCTCGTGGGTCGTTTGGATTCCGAGAAGCAGTCACGGTGAAGTCAAGCTTCTTCGCATCATCTTCATAAACGGAGAAGTAGAACCTGCTGCATCAACGCATGACAACCCATGTCTCAAGAGACTGGAATAGAAGCACCGCGGGGTTATGCACTTTCGGAGAACAAAATACACCCCACGCCCACATACAGTGCAGCCAAAACTGTCCAAACAAAGATTCCGAATTGATTAAACGCCCAGCAACACTACGTCCATCTGGATCTCTGGTCGCAGGGCGGCTGCAGCACCGTCCTTCTTGTCTGAGTCTGCAAGTGCAGCGTTCACCTCTTCCTAGCGGAGGCGAAACTTGGTTGATGATGTAAAAACCCCGTGCAAACATCATCAGCACCTTCGAGTCCCTTCGCACAGCAAGACCCTAAAAGTTCCAGCTTGGGGCTCGGAAGTTGCACAGCCAAAAGCCCCGTGACACCATCAGACCCCATGATCTACATGTGTTACATGGGTTGTCCGAACGTCCCACGCTATCCTTCCACCCGGCCTTGCTCAAGCCCGTGATCTCCTGGATCGCTTCCATCTTCAGGCCCTGTGCCTTGCATCGCCTGGTGGCACGAGCAACGCCACAAGGAAGCCAAAGCAATATCAGAAGCTTTGGACTAAGCCCGTGTGTCGTATGACATGCTAGGCGAGTCTGTGCACTCTTGATGGCAATGACTCCTTTTCGCCATTGCCCATTCGCCTTGGTTGGTTTTTTTCAACGAGCCGAACAGCTGAACGAATGGCCAAAGGTTTTCCAAACCAACCTTTTCGCAATTGCTATTTAAGGCAGGTGTTACACGACGAGGCCGGCGATTCGGATTTTGGATGAGAATCATGAGAAGCTATCACTTGACCCACCGGCCGAGGCGTTTACAAGAGCAGATCCACTTGAGAAGGAGTGAGAACCCCATGCCTGGCGACTCGCGCGAGCGCACCAGCTACGGAGACCACGTCAGGCCTAGGGCGCGAGCTTTGGCTCGTGTGATTGATAAGGTTATGGGATGCGGGGCTTAGGATTGTCTTATGATTAAATAGCAATCGTGGGGGCTGTGGTAGTGGCGGTGGGGGATGCAAATCTATCCCCGATTGAAAGAGCCCAGACCGTTCGCCCGTCCGTCGCGAATTTAGAGCGAGTCATGAAGCCTGACCTCCTCAGAAAAAGCATCATTCGGTCTGCGGAGCAGCAACGAAATTCGCGACAAGTTATGCACCAGGGACGGCTATGAGACGCAGCTCAGAAGACAAGATCCTAGCTCAAACCCCAAAACACCTAATCCTTCTTTCAAGTCCGACTGTCGTGCATCTCCGCGTCCGAGAGGCGAGGGCTCTTTGATCCTGTGAACCTTGGATGTCCTCTCCTCGCTGTGTCAAGAGTCAAGAGATATGCATTCGTTCTTCGCGTCACAAGTCCCGGTCCAAGCAGAGATCCTCGCTCTTTCAAAGCCCGGCAACTCAAATCTCAGGCTTCCCCGGTCCTGCTCTCCCAGCTTGACCAAGACCGCGGCCGACTTGCCGAAGGACGGCGGGAAGGTCATCCGGTTGACGCCCAGCTTCACCAAAGTTCCCTTGGCCTTGGCCTTGACAGGGACAGGGGCAGGGCTTGGCTCCGGAACGCGGCAGAAGAGGAAGGCCCAAAAAAGAACGGAACTTTCTGCCAAGGCTCTGCCGTGCTTTGATCCCATGCAGACAGCTGCAGCCACTCAAACTTCATCTCCAGCGTTCCACAGCACTTCTCATCCGGCGACTTCGGATCCTTAGAGCAATCGAAACTTCTTCAGCAGCCGACAAGGAACCTCGTAGCCGAGATGCGACGAGGGGCAGCGGCACGCTGGAATTCCGAACCGCCTCACTGGCCTGTCCAGGGTCTCGCTGGGCTCCCTTGCACAAGGATGCACACAGCTTTTGGCATTGGCCTTGATTGGCCACTTCGGCTTGCCGATGAAGTCCGAGTTGGTGAGGTAGTCACTATCGTAGACCTGAGCTTGAAGCATCCCTGTAGGTTCTCGACTCATCGAGTTCAGATCTTGCGTGTTTGGCTTGTCCGAAGTGAAACTCGGTAGTCCACAGCGAGGGTTGATTGTACAGCCACCGGATCCTCCCTCAACTGTTCATGAACTGGCAGAGACCCTAAAAATCAGGACAAGTGACCTACATTTGGCTTTCACGGGTTCCCTCATCAGGGAAAACACACTTGTCGCTTCGGATGCCGTGGTATCTCTCTTGCGGCCACAGGAGCCTCGATGCAGAGACGTTGATCCCGATCGAAGACCTTGGCTTGGCCAGGAGAGCTTTGAGCTGAGAAATTCTGTGACGTGCCTAAAACTCAAAATCGAAGCACAGACCTCCGGCTACTTTCGAAACAAGCGAGAAGGCACCATGAAGTCGTGGAAGTCCCCCTCACCCCAAACCTTGGCGGGCCAGATTCATGGCATCGGCAGGCACAGGGGTTCAAACATGACCAAACAAGCAGGGTTTGCTACCCAAGATTGCTTTGATTCCGCGGTACCAGCAACCCAAGACCGACCAAAAGCAGCCTCGCCACACCGCCGGCAAAAAAAGTCCTATGTTGGTTGACCAGGGGGCTGGATTGCAGGTTCGCTTCTGCACAGACGAGTTCCAGGAGTCGCTGGCCAAGGAGACCCTCCTTAGACAGCGACGGGTGACTTCACAGGGACCATGCCTGTGGCGGTAAACCTGGAATTCTGTGTAATCTATCGTTCATCCAGATTTGTAACTGGGTCATGGTGTGGATCGCAGCATGAAGATCGAAACCCCACGCACCCTGATTGAAGATCAGAATAGCCTGCTCAAGGGACGGCTTGCCCACCAGCGGCCCACCACCCACCAGCACGACCCACGTGGAGAAACCGATTCTACAGCCTGGTCTAGTCAGGCAGAAAGTCACATAGGTGTCGCTGCTGGCTTTGCCCAGCAGGTGCCAGTCTTTGGCTGTGATGTCCTTCGCGCGGACTGCAGTCACCTCGAGCTGTTGATGAACCCTAGCAGGGCTACTCCGGCTTCCTGGCCAACTGCAAACCCGGTGACGCGCAAGACGGCCAGGGGCAGTGGCTTCACGAGATCTGCCTCCGGTCCGGACATCTGCAGCACAGAAAGGCACAGACTCACAGCTCAGCTTGGCTCCCTGCCATGTCGACGCCCTGCGCCGGTGTTGCTATGGGCACCTCGAATTCCCTAAACCCTTCAGCAGGACGGTTCACCATCTCCCCTCGCCGCTTAGGATCTCTGAAAGGAGGGCCACTTTCCCCCCAACGATTTTCCAACGACTTGCGAGGAGCGACAGTAGCAAGGACCATACACGGAAGCGTTAGCTGTTGGAACTCAACAGGCTAGTGATTCTCTGGACTTCCAGAGACCACTGCCGCCCGGACATGGAGCCGGCAAAGAAAAACATCCGGCAAAAATCGTCAGCATCACCGTGAGCGCTGTTCGGGGGCTTTCTCTCCCTATTGCTCTCCGGATCGCCAGGTGCCGTGTGGGGCTCTGTCGCGAAGCTTTCCATAGTAGCAGATGTGCAGGGTCCGAGTCAGCAAACAGTCAAAAACATCAGGGGCAGAATCAGCACGCAGGCCGGATGCAAGTCATCAACAGCACAGTCGCAGTCAGCAAATCCCAGAGCCACTATGAGCCAATATCCGAGGCGGCCTCAGCCCGAAACGGCAAACACCAAGGAAGTGCCATGCAACGGCAACGCAACGACATGCTCCTGGAAATGTACTGTAAAGTTGCCCGCCATTTCAGCGTCACGCTCTTTCCGAGGCCAGCGATATGCGAGGTCACCGGAAGCGCCCCAGCCGGAAACGGCAAACCCCACCCCTTTTGCGACAGGCAGCTGCTGGCTTTCTGATTCGATTTGCAAACACAATCGCCCGGATTTGCTGACACAAGCTACTCTCAGCAGCAGATAGCTGTCCAAGTCACGGCAATGACATTTGGCAGGACCATGGCACTGCCTCAGCACAGGAGACTCATCCGCTCAGGAGATGTTAGAACAGGCTCTTTTGTCTGCAGCCACTGCCAAATTGTTTCATCCGGGCAAAGCTGTAGGTGCAAGGGTCCGAAGTGAAGCCCAGGTACTGATGGCCGCGTTGATTTGGTGGCGGATTATGCCTGCAATGCCGGGCACATCTGCCAGGTTGGCTATCCCGGTGAAGTCCAGGCCCTGAATGCGGCAGGGACAGGTGAAGGGTCTGGAGCTTGAGGTCTTCGGCTGGTCCTAAACCTGTGTCGCGCTGCAAGACCGCTGAAATTGCTTTCCAGTGGCCAGCTCTGGCGGATCGTTGAAGAAGACGGTGATGCCTGGGTCGCGCTGGCACTCACCAGATCATTCCACCAGTTTTGAAAGAGATCTTGCTACCGGTGGCGAGGAAGAAGACGAAGAAGAACAATCAAAATGCTCTTTTATTCACCCAGCTAGTTTCTGTCGTTTAAAGACCTTCCTCTTCCACTACAAGGCGAAGCACCACATACCTCGACTGGATGAAAAGCTTTGCAAGCAAGGCGCCGCCAACCACCGGAGTTTCATGGATCAGTGGCTCTAATCTGAGCACCAGCTCCCCGCGCAAGCGGATGGACTTGATCCCAATACCTTTGCAGAGCGGTCTGGGGAGTTTGGGCACGTGCCTTCCAGGCTTCGACACACGGCGTTTGGGTCGAGGTGTGCTGGAGGCAGTCGGACTGACTCTCTCAAAACCAGGAACGTTGGCAGCGAAAGTGTCGGCTGAACTCGCGAATCGCAGCTGTCGAATTTAATCTGTCCCAGCAGTGTGTCCCAAATGCCCAGACCCATCTCAGCGAAAAGCCATGGAGCTGGCGATCACGGCAGAGACTTCGATGTCAACATCCGACTCGTAGTCCAAGTTCAGGTTGAGCTTCAACCCGTGCTGCAAGGCAAAATGCGGTGTCTTCTTTTAGGACGTAGATCCGAAAGAAGGGAACTTGGTTCAGGGCTGCAAGGAAGACTGCTCTGTTTGCTGTACAGCTGTTGAAAGAGCACAGGCGATGAAGGGAAGAATTTGCAGGAACAGGATGACTGTTGGGAGTTTGGATCTGGGCTGAGCCTGTGTAAGATTACCAGATGGGATCTAAGGAAACGACCGTAAACGGCTGCAGAAGATTGCTGTCACCTAGGACATGGACCCGGGACGCAGTCGTGACAACTTTCTGCGTTGTGTTCTCGAATGCTCTCGTGCTGCCCCTTTTTCACCCACCTGGCGGCTGACAAGCTCGATCGGCCCAAACTTCGGGGTGATCGTTCCAAGCGTGAAGGTCTTGAAGTGTGTGCCTAGCGGGCTCGATGGGACAAGCATGGCATGGCCATGCTGCACGCTCCAGCAGCTGCCAGCAGGCCGCGGTACAACCAGGACCCTAACCCGGCATACTACCAGCCCACGAGTATGCAGGCAAGAAAAGCCGGGTGAAGGTACCAGGCAGACCTAGCAGCTAAACGTGCCGCGCCTTTCAAGAAGCTTGGGAGGCTCGCCTGCAGCTGCGGTGTGACCTCGCGGGTGCTGGTGCTTTCAATTCTGCAAAGCAAGGGATCAAGTTTCTCCGTGGCCTGCTCATGAACGATCTTCTGGACCGCATTATTAATGTTCGGCCACAGCTGTGCAACGAGCTCATTCAGCCACTCCAAGGTCTCCTCTCTCCTTCCAAGAATACGGCTGCACAATGACCAATGCTTGACTTCATCACACACGGCTCGACTTGAACAAGGTGCCTCCCGTCTTTGTCGGCGACCGGCGTCAATACGTGGTTCGCATCCTTCCGTCGGTCGTCAAGCAGGTTGCTGTATGCTCGTTCCTCAGCACAACCCATGCTGTCCTCGTAATCTGACCTGCCACTTATGGCACAGCATGCTTTGCCGACCTGGCTCCACGCACGCAACGAATACGACAAGAAAACTGCTTCTATCCAGTGCCTTGCCGCCCATTGCACCCCCAGCCCGGACACTCGAGCCACGTAAAACGGCTGCCAAGCTCAGGACTCACGGCAACACAACTTGAGAACACCGACGGACCTCAGGCTTCGATGCGACGGAAGCACCGTTCTGCCGGGAAGCCGGAGGTCCAAGCGAACGGATGGCATTGTGAACCTCGTCGTTGGCCTTACGACAACACATGCTGGCATGCCAGTTCACATAGACCGTACGGCCCAACTCAAATCTTTCGCTCAGAACTCCCGCGGCAGCTCGGGTCTTCGCCGGATCCAGGCGAAGAGCTTCGGTAAAAAAGTCGCGTGCCCTTCCACAGTCTCCCTGGACCTCGGAGTACAATTTTGTTCGTGTTTCTGGTGCCTATCAGGCCTTTGGGGGTTTGGTTTCTATTGCTTTCGGTGACGTTTGATGCCAGGTCGTCAACTGCAAATGCGCACGGCTTTGTCAACAGCCACAATCTTCAGAGAGAGGATCAACGCCTCCTTGGCCCCTGAACTGCATCCAACTCCTTCCAGTCCAGAACCCAGCAGTTGCACGCGCAGGCGCCATGCAGGCTCGTCCGCAGCGATAGAGAGCCTTCACGCGCTTGGCAGCGTGACCTGTTGCTGCACATTGGGCGAAGAATGAAAAACCACAGGGGGCGACTGAGTTCTTTAGGAGGTGAGTGCGGGTGCACTGACCCCCGCGTGTATAAATAAATTTCTAGGAGTGCGTCTGGATGTTGCAATACATCTCGTCATGTTCTAACAGACGCATCTTCCCGAAACATATGGCCCATAACCCCGAAACCGCAAATACCCTTCCCTAACCCGAAACCCTAAACACGCCAGGTCTAGTGACAGGCTGCTATTGAAGTCGAGGTTGCCCCAAAATGCTTAATCCCAAAAAAAATTGTGCTGGGGTTCAGGGTTTATGATTTGGGAGTGGGCGCTCGTCAGAGCCCCAGTAGTGATAGGAAATTTGCCCCATACACATCAGGCCGATAACTAAACTTGTGCTTCTTCCAGTATGAAGTTCGTATAGCTTGACGTAGCTGCACAAATCTTGTTTGGAACTTGGGAGTTTCTAGGCCGAAACATCTAGTTTACGTTGCAGGGCGGGCGGGTGCATGCGCGGCACGTACAAAGCAAGGATGCTAGCTTGGCTAGAGTGCTCAATGTTTCAGTTGGCACGGGCACACTAGCAGCAGCTCTGGCAGAAAGAACACATGGAAAGCTCGTCTGTAGGAAATCCAGGTCTGGAGGCCCCGGAACAATGATATACAATGATAATTCTGTCTTCCTCTCGCTCTCGGTCCGTCCGTGTGTTTGTAAGGCTGTTTGCCGGCCTCTCTGCATCCGTAGCAACTCGCCTCTCTTGCATTCATCTCTGTCCCCTTGTGCACGTTCTATGTTTTTGTCGGCACAAAACTCGACATTTCGCCAAGCACATCGACCGACATTCGCTTGTTCGACAGCCCATAAAACCATTTCAAACTACAAGTTTGCTCGTTTGGGAAAGCCAAGATGAGAATGGGGACAGAGCAGGACGGAGAGACTGTCAAGGCGCCTGAGATCGAGCAAAGCAAATTCACGATTCACACGGCGACCACGGGAGAGCACCCGAGCCCGGGCCTAACTCTTCGAAGATCTCCAGAGCTTCGGTAGCCAACCTCAGGCTTCATTGGGGCTTAAGGGTTTAAGGCTTAGTGTTTATGGTGGTCTAGGCTTCTTTTTCGGGGTTTAAAGCTTACGACTTCGGGTCATGATTGCTTTGCTAGGTTGGCTTAGGGTTCAGGTTGGGCTGCGACTTCGGGGGGGTGGAGGGGCTTGGACAAACCCGATCGCCCAAACTCTAGATGCATGCTCAAGGCGTCTATCTGCACCCGGTTTTTCAGGAACGTGGCTCCATATAGAACGCGCGTCTCAGAAAACCTCGAGCGCACTTTGTGCATACAGATGTGCAACTCGGGCTTTTCCATAAAATTCTGCCCCCAGAACCGACACGCCGGGCTTTGAAACTCGAACAACAACCCTTAAAGACTTAAAGCCTCATATTTGATGCAGACTCAGGGATCTCTGGGACGTCTCCTAGAGACTGCAAGCTGATTCTGACGGTGAGGCCATTCAGGGGTTATGTGCAACTCAGCGACGGCAAGGCGTCGTGCGGTCGATTCATCTCGGCAGAGCAGTGCCGTCAGATCTAGACAGTGTCAAAGCTTCCTCATTATCAAGACATGGCCCGACCGTGAATGGTTGGTGCTGCAGGATGCGAATGTCGAGATGCAGGAGTGACAGACTTCCCCCCCAGAGTTGTTATTGTGATGATCGGTCAATGCCAGTCTTCGTTGCCGAGAAGAAAATGGCCCCTCATCTCTTGCAACTGTATCCGGCCAGGGTTCGGTCTGAGCTGATTCTGCCCTGATCCTGCCAACCCATTTTCCCGGCTACAGTCCCGTGGCAAGCCTCGAGATGATCACTGGACCACATTGAACCCAGGCCCACATGTAAACAGCTTCGTTCCCGTTCGAAACAAGGCGCCTTTAGTAAAGTGAGCGCGAAGTTGTTCAGCAGATCTGCCTCAAGCTCCATAGCCTTCGAGACCCTGACATCTGCCACGAAGTCTGGCGGCAACTCCTCTCACAAGTCACAAGTTCAAGGGACTCCGATGGTTCCCTCAAACGTTCAAACTTTGTCCTTGATCAGCTTGGTGCCTTCACCTGGACCCGGAAACTGCACGAAGGGAAAGAGGCCACACAGATACCACGCCAAGCTGCTGTAGCATAATTCTGCCTCACGCAAGTCCGTCTTCTTGAGACACTCGTTGCCTGCACACGATGCACAAAAGGGGCACGATGCGTCTTCATCTCGCGCCATGAGTCACCCAGGCAAGCAAGCCGGCGTTGCCTTCGTGCTTCCAAAATGCTACGATAGCCAATACATCCTCATGCAGGCCAGAAGTGCTCTGTTTACAGCTCGCCCCGCCGAAGATGATAGCTTGCAATGCATCTGAATGCTGCTATCAAAGACGTTGACACTTAGGTCAAACAAGCATGACCCATCCACTGCCAAGTGCCTAAGCATGTGCATTGCCGAAGCTTGCCCAACTTGCACAGCATGAGAAGGCTGAGAGTACGAGACGTGCACAAGCAGCCAGCTCCTCGCCATGCTCGGTGTGGATGTCGCTTTGACTCACGGCTGAGCCAGACGAACACGAGTCGCGCAGGGACTTCTGCCAGGAGTCTTCAACACGGCGCCAGCGAGCCTGCAAAGCAGATCTGGGCTCAGTCTTCCAAAACAGATGCCGTGAAGTCGAGAGAACACACACGCGCATCCAGCCTACAAAGGCCACCAGACCGTTCAAAGCACAAAGCAATGCTTGGTTCAGGCACTGGGGTTCGGAAAAGCCCGACACACCTGCAGCTCTTCTGGAAGATCGCCCAAGGTAACGCAGTCCTGGGATTTGTTCGGGAGCACGCACATGTTGAATGCACTGCTGATACCTTCTCCATACTGGCACCAGGCAAAGAAAATGAAAAAAGCTCAAAGGCATTTCGACAAATTGAAGCCGACCTATGCAGGAACCGGCTCTACATCAGGCCCCGCGTCGGCGAGAGCGAAAACTGCAAAAAGAGGGCCAACCACTGGGAATTCCTGCCTCTAGGATGCCAACCTGACAGCGCGTCCCAGAAAATCAGACAGATGCAGAAGTCCTGGAGCCTGCAACAAGAACTGTATGACCTCCGAATCTTCAGCAACTCAACCCATGCGTATCCCTCTGCCTCGCCGGAAGCTGCCCTGCTGTGCTTCTCTGCTCCATGGCGAACACGCTCAAGAGGAAAAAATATGATGCAAAGAGTCTGTTCTTCGGGCGCTTGTCGTCGAGGAAGCATACTAGCAGCGCAAAGAATGGCCTTGCCATTGTCGAGATGCAAGCTGCAAGCTATCCGTGACCGCGTGACGTGCTGCAAACCGCAATGCACCTGCTGTAATGCTTCTCCTTCAGCAGGATTGGAGGTGGTTGTGCCCAGTAATGAGGCGAGAAAAATCTGTCGAGCAAAGTGCCTCGCAAGCCGGGACCAACCTATCTGACGAAACCCAAGCTCTGCAGAGACCCAGCCTCCGTTGAATTCTCGCTGCAAGATGTCCCTCTCCTTCAACATCTCAGCCCAATGCTCAGCACCTCGGAGACATCTTGTCGTCACTCGCATGCCGAAGTTGAGAGACTTCTCATCGGCGAGGCTCAAAGGCCATGCTGCGATGCAAAGGGCGAATGCCTGTGGGGCCTCAGGCATTCGCAAAAGCGTTCTTTGACCAAACACTTCGGGTCTTTTGCAAAAACCATGGAAACTCTGCTGATCTCTGCTGCGGGCCTCCTCCGACAGCTTCGGACCACACACTCCGAGGCATCGCTGGCAGTGGCCCCCGGTTCAGCCATCGAGGGGGATGCGCAGGAGGAGGCACCAGAGGCCGCTGCGGCCGCCGCATCCTTGTAGCGCGGCATCTCACAGCCAAAGGAGACAAAGACGGGAATGGAACAAGAGACCGAGAGCGAAGGAGAGAGACAGGGAGGGGAATGGAACAACAGACCGAGAGAGAGAGAGAGATAGATTAGATCAGATCAGATCATATTCGAGTAGATTAACAGATAGAAAGCTGGCAAGACAGACAGACAGCCAGCCAGGCAGGCAGCCAGGCAGCCAGGCAGGCAGGCAGGCAGGCAGGCCGACAGACAGGATAGCTAGATAGATAGATAGATAGATAGATAGATAGATAGATAGGGTTGTAGGTAGGTAGGTAGGTAGGTAGATAGATAGATAGATAGATAGATAGATAGACAGATAGATAGATAGACAAACAGATAGATAGGTAGATAGGTAGATAGGTAGATAGGTAGATAGGTAGATAGGTAGATAGGTAGATAGGTAGATAGGTAGATAGGGCCTGACACGTCCGTAACAGGCCGCGTGCTTTCCTGCAGGTTTCGCGGTTTGGAAGCTTTCGCTGTGGATTCTCGGCGCTGCCAGGATCGGACATTATTTAACTTTACTTGGGGAAGGGGGGTGGTGGGGGGAAGGCTGATTTCGTTCTGGCGCGGCCAACTTTCTCGGGCTTGGGGAAGTCAGGATTATGAGGAAGGAAAAAAGTGGGCTTTGAAGCCATGCTGCCAGCAAAAGTCAAGACAGTGCAGACATGCCTTTGAGAATCACATTCAGGAGCTGTGTACATAAAACGTGCGACGCCCTAAGTTTCAAGGCTACATGGCCCCTGAAAGTCATTTTCGCGAACATATCTGCACTTTCTTGACTTTTGCTGGCAGGCGTGGGTTAAGAGCCCATTCCACATAAACCTGGCCACCGCAAACCGCTGCGGTCTTTTATGTATGTGTGACCAGATATGTAAACAGATAGATAGATGGATAGATAGATAGATAGACAGACAGATACCTAGACAGACAGATAGATACATAGATAGGAGATAGGTAGATAGACAGATAGATTTTGACAGCCTGAAAAGGGAAAGAGGAGCCGGCATGCCCGAGGCCAGGACTTCCAGCACTTTGTCTTCCTTCCCACTATCACTCCGTGGTGGCAGAGCTGCCTACAAAGCACGACAAGCATGGTCACTGCACAACTCCCAAACTGCACAGGCTGCAAGCGCGGTTCGAGCATGTCGGGCCTGCTTAGTCCTCTTCTTCTTCCCTTTGCGCCTGCGCTCTCAACTCAGTGGAGTTCGCCACTGCACCGAATGCTGGAACATAAATAGGGCAACATCTCCCTTCACACTCCTTTCGCTCTGAAATCGACGTATGGAACAGAAGGCATCTGCCACGAGCCTTGCTACTGAGACAACCAAAATCATAAATCCAACATGCAGAGCACCGCCTTTGTCTGCTCGCCCCTGCTCGCGGAGCGACCGGTACATCTCCAGCACTATCTTCTTCGCTGGCAGAGTGCACCGGATCTGGCCAGAATTCGTGCTTCACCGTGTCGACAGGAATCGAAACGTCACTCCGGCCTTCAAAGGCATCCGGCTCGTCGTCAGGGTCCTGCTCCTGAGACCACACAAGGCTCTTCAAGAATCACTTCCCCGAGAGTCGGACCTCCTCGTCACCTCCCGAGACATCATGAGGATCACCACCTGAAGCTGACGGATGCGGCACTTTGCGGAGGAAGGCTCGGGATGGGGATGACAACGCGATGCCAAGCGCGGGGAAGGCCTTCGGACTCTGAGCCGCTGATGCCTGCGTCCTGGGCCAAACTGCATGGTGTGGGCGTGAAGCCTCAACTCCCAAACCCGGCTACACCAAATGCCAAACCTTCAAGCCTGCAGTCCTGCTCCCAACACCCTGCACCACGGCTTGGTTCGCTGAAGTTGCTGGTCTGCAAGAAGTGTCGGGCATCTGCCTGCCGGATGACGTGAGTGTTTGGCCTGGGTGGGCTGAGGATCCACAGCTGAGTTGTGCCGAGATGTACCCTGACCTGGTTTTTTGTTCCTGCGCCAGGCCGAAACTGACACTTCAAGGCGAGATCCTGGAACACCCCCGGTGAGGCAACCGCCGAAGCACAAAAACCTGAATAATCAAAGCTACGGCCGACAGAACTCCACACTGCGAGATTGGCTCATGCACGTTACAGGGCGGTCCGAAATTCTACACCCAAAGCGAGGGACGAATTAGCAGGCCTCCGTCCAGTACGCATTCACATGCTCCGCTTTCACATGCTGGACCAAGTGCTTCCAATGCGATGCTCCAGACAGCACCTGCGCATCAGACAAGGATTCCAGAAGGCATCATTGGGTTGTTCATAGGAGGCTGTGCTAACAAGCAGGACCTAAGAGGGAACCCTTCTGAGACAGCACCACTAACAAGGAGGGCAATGAATCTGGCAGCAAGGCTGGCCTGCATGTTGCCGACGACCAGGAGGCCCAGTTGCGCCCGGGTCAGTGCCACGTTCGCAAGTCGCCTGTGTCTGGTGCCATGCTTTGAACTTGCCTCTCGCCTCCTTTGTGTCAAGTTGCCGGTCTTTCAAGAAGCCCAGCTGGTGCCCAGCTGCTCGCCGCAGTGAGGCAGGCACAGGGTCGAACACCTCACAAATGATTCAGAATGCAAATGTGGATCTGACGCCGCATGTTGCCTCTTTGGCCAAGAGGTCCTTGCCAGAAACGAACAAATTACCAAGCATTGCTGGAAGCCTCTGTGTCTGCCTCTGCAAAGCTCCGGACAAGGGACAGCGCGACCTCAGTGGCTAAGAGTGCAGAGTCCTGCGCTTGGAATCTCGGTCCCACACCGCAAAGCCATGAAGCGCTCGAAGGTTTGAGGTCGTTAAGCCACGAAATTACCGTTCGAGCCAGGCTTCGTACTCACGTTCCTCGCCCTGAAGCAGGTGCCTCAAGCCACAGATGAGGCATGCAACCATGGAGTGGGAAGTCCCGGAAGTTCAAGTATAAGAGCAACATGGTGCCGCAGCTGTACCCTTTCATGTGCGTTCGACTTTTGCAAATGGGCGCCAGGTATCCTGTAAGCTGGGGTATCTAGGACACAGCAGGGATGTCAAGACAAGCTGCACTGTTCCAATCGTCGGCATGGGCGAGACTTCGGCCAGCTGCTCTGTAATCCTCAGGGCTTCAGTGCTCGGCACTGCAGCTGCTGGACAGATCATGACAGATCATGCCAAGCAGGCGGACAGCGGTTCAGATAAGTCTCAGAGCTGCCTGTGCCTCAGACTTGAGTGGAAGATTCGAACAAACTGCTGTGACGTGTGTGTTGCCTGAAATCCGCGTCAACAAGCGTCCTTCGGCTACTGCGACTTGCGGACCTTGAATGCCAAGCTTCCCGGTACGGCGTAATGATGGCGATGCTGGCACTCTCCACCCCCAAATTCAGCAGCCAGCGAACGTAATCCACAACGACAGCAGCCTGCTTCGTGACATGAGGAGGAGGGTCTTGGTCTTGTGTCGCATATTTCCCGCCTCTGCAGGGTTGCACAGGGAGTGTTCGTAGTCGAGCACCGCATCACCCTCCGGGGCCACCGTACGGCGGCCGTGAGGCCCTCGCAGGATGGGCCGGCGCTAAACCCCTGAACCCCATTGAACCCCTAAATCCTAGCCGTACCAGCGTACCGGCTGCAGGCCTGTCACGTCCACGACCACAAGCCGTGAGTCTGACGATGAAGGCAAGGTGAAGCCGTCACGGGCAGTTTCCGGAGCATTGACGAGCCTCTGTGCCGGGAGACTGCGCACTGACATTTGGCCTGGTTTCACCGAAAAAACGGTATTCGTAAGAGAAGACCAATGATAGGTAGAAAACAAGTAACTCGTTTTCATAGAACTCCTCGCTCGCAAACCAACTGATCGACGGATGCATACGATATTGCCTGCAGAGCGAGTGGTTTCTGCACATAGCGGTCCGGACCAAGACGAACCTTGCATGCGTTAGCTAGCTACCTTGCCTGGTTTTGCTGCAGGCTTGGTGTCATGGGAAGATCATCAAACATCCTACGGCCCGCACCTTTTGAGTGTGACATGTGGAATTCCCGAGGACGTGTTCTGGTCCCGCCGCTTCGAGACAACACGCTCGAAGAGTGATCCTGGCTCCGAGCTGCTCACAGTCACGAAATCTTGTCCAGAGAGGTCGAAAGCAGGCCCGAGGTGCTGGTGAACATCCGCCTGAAGGCTGGAAAGAGGGTGGTCTCCGTCAGAACGGGACCAAGCTGCAAGTGGTCCCCGAACAGTGCCAAGTGGTCCTTGGTGAAGCAAGGCATTCAATTCACGGAAGATGTCACTCAAGATTTCAGCAGACAGCTTCTTCTCAAGCCCACGCTCCTCCGCAAGAACACAGCAGCTGGCGAGCTCGAACCTGGACCGGCAAACGGATGGAATCTCAGGGTTCACGTTGGCGACAAACTGTAAGCAGAGACCAGACAAGCTGCTCCACCGCCTGTGCAGCTTCGTCGATGACCTCTGAGCATGAAAGGCAAGCCAGTCATACCACAGCAAAGCTCTAAGAATGCTTCGAGCCCCTGACGACTGCTGGATAAGTCATCTTCTCGAAGAGCTTGTCGTTGGTTGCACAGTCACAAGTAGTGAAAACCACATGGGCCTCTCACACTTGCCACTTCGGACCTGTCTTAAAGAACTTGCCCGTTGCACCTGCTTGAGCAGCTTCTTGGATAGCCTGTCCTTTTGCTGCCTAGCCTGCCAGAGCAGTGATCTGGAGCAGATCGGAGACGGAGAGAGCTAATGCCTCTTTGAGCTTCTCGTGCAGCTTGAGCCGCTCCGAGAGCATGCCTTTACCTCGGTAAGACTTGGACTCTGCACGCCCGATACTCAAAACGTTCTTTACTGTGAATGACATGCATGCCCCAACAAATTCCGATAGCAAGCATCTCAATCCGAATGTATCTTGCCAAGATACGGACACCCGCATCTTGTAGCTGGGATGCCATGTCCTGCACGTAATTGTGAAGCTCGGAAATGGGCATGGTCTGCGACAAGACACCAGAGTAAACCAGGCCAGCCACAGGATCGATTCAGCCAGATTGCACTAGTTAACACCGTCTTGCCGACATGGAAGACGACACAATGGCAACATTGCAACTCCCTTCACCGAGGAACAGTTGGTACCACGAACGGCCAAGCCTGGAAGCACTGGAAGAGCTCCGGATCCTCCTTCTTCACTTGCTCGTGCCTTAGCGCATTTATTTGCAGAAGACCCTCTGTGTAAGTACGAGCTGAGAAGCAGAGCGTATTGGGACAAAGTCGGGTCGATTTGGTAGTCCCTGCGAAACCTTGCAGCAATCCGTCAAGCCAACATGTTGGATGCAGGAAGGTGTTGCTGGCCGGAGGCTGTGCATTCGGCAGCGACCAGTATGAGCGCTCGATGGATGTCGCATAGACCCGAACGATCCTCGAACAGCTGCCGCAGCGAACAAGTAGGATTTACTGTTGCAGAACGACCACAAGTGGCGCAGGTCATCTTCCCTGTACAATTCTGAAATCGAACTCTGGTTCGCCAAGTCACCGGACGGTGTCCGCGATGTTCGTGCGCGAGAGCAACTGCAACAGCCGATCGCAGGCCTCTCTGGGATAGCTACAGAATTTCGAGTCTCAGGTCTGCTTTCATGTGGCTGATCGTGCTTTGAGATCGCTTGCCTTGTTGGATGGGCAGCAAACGAGCAGCATCGGTCCTTCTGGACGTCCCTGCGTGCAAGTCTAGGTCTGCCCCCATGGTGCGACCAATGTAAACCCGCAGAGACAGCTTCACCGGTTCAGATGGAGAGACCCGCGCCTTCTGGTACGTTCTCAGCCGCCGCAAGTAGTGGCAGATAAGATAAGCTGCCGTGGTGCTCTTTCCAGTGCCAGGTGGGCCTCGCATAGTATGCTCCGCCAAAAATCTCAGCCACCTTCCTGACGCTCAAAAACCCTCTAGACTGGAATCGCCTCCAAACTCGGATTAAACGACCCCCAGGAAAATGCAGACAAGAACGGCCTGCCTTGGACGTAGGCAAGGGGCTCCTGAGCCAAGTTTCCAGCCCAGCGACACTGCAGAGCCTCTACAGAAGGACTCTCGTCCAAGGGCCTTCAAGGCCAAATCCAAGCCTTTCTGCTGGAAGGTGTTGAGCGGAGCCAGGCCCTCGACAGTAATTGAGCCTTGTGGCATGGCAGGTTTCTGTTGTTGAACTAGTTTGTATTAGACTCTTAGACTTGAAAGCAAGGAAACGACTTCAGGTTGAAGGGAGGGGATTGGAGCGAGATTGCACAGGTCCCACATGTCTGTGAGAAGGCAAAGAACCCTAGCAACTAACTAAGTGCATGTCTGCCCGAGTAGGAGTAAAAACGTGAAAAGCCGCCTGCCACGGCGACCACTCGCATGAGAGGTAGTGGAAGCTACTGCAACTCGCAGAGGCCTATCTAGACAGCTGCTACACCCACGAAGGCGCCATCCTCAAAACGCTTTGCTACAACCCTTGCCCTGCATAATCCTGACAAGACACCAACACTCTCGCTATCGTCCTGGTCGTCCTGCCAGTCAGCGTGGCCCCCAGCACCTTCAGCAGCTTTGCGACAGTTCTGCGCTGCGAAAGCCGAACTAGCCTTGACAATATTCCACCATCTTCTTGATCTGCCGGCAACGACGACGATGATGAGGATGATGACGATGACGATGATTCTGGTGTGGACGAGGAGAAGGAGGAAGATCGTGGTGGTAGTGGTGGCGGATGGTGGGGGCGGCGGATGGCGGCAGTAGTAGTGTCGGTGATGCTGATGCAAGGGTGATGCAGGAGTTGTCACAGAAAGTCGCCATGATGAAAAGAGCCATGATGACACTGATGATGATGATGATGATGATGATGAGGAGGAGGAGGAGGCTGATACTGATGATGATGACAATGATGAAGATGATGACGATAGTGATGATGCTGATGATGACGATGATGAGGAGGAGGATGCTGACGATGATGGTGATGACGATGATGACGATGATGACGATGATGACGATGATGACGAGGAGGAGGACGACGAGGAGGATGATGATGATGCTGATGGTGATAGTGATGATGGCGATGATGAGAAGGAAAGGAAGGCGATCAGGCCTGTTGCTTGGACACTACCATTGCGTTGCAAGCATCAGAAGTAAGCTGAGGACCGCAGGTTATGACGGCGCTACTGGCAAACATACCGCTTCGGGTACTTATAATATTCTGATACGACCATTCTTTTGCTGCTGCAGTAGCACTGCCATTTCACGCTTTATCAAGCCCATCACCATTGCTGCCACTGAGAATACCCTTGTAGCACTGACATGAACTGCCATCTTCGCAACATTGTCATTTACAGCTTTTGACCGAATACTCGGCACCGTAGGTACGAGTGATGCTACTACTATTACGGCCAGCATTCCGCAGCCATATCTATACTGATGATGATACTGATGCTAGCGACGATGATCGTGAGGATGAGGATGATGATGGTGATGACAGCGATAACATTACTGCTGCTGATGATGATGATTCATTCGTGTTAAAGATGATGATCCATATGCACTGTGCTTTTTCGCAACATCCCAACTACGAATATCCGTGTCGCTTTGATGTGTGCTTCATCTGCATTTGCTGTCATTGTGTTCATGAACCTCTTGGTATTGTCATCGCTACTGATGCTTGCTCTCATCAGCAACTCAACGACTAGTATGTGCATTGCTGCCCCTGTGCACCTAAGCGATGCTGGGACTGCAGCGTCGCCGAGAGTACGGTTCTGACTCAAATCGTGGGTCCCACCTCCAGCCTTGAAGAGCAGCCGATTTATGATAGATTTTCGGCCATCCTCTGCTGCTATCTTGCTTGTAAAGCGATAGTCATGTACCATGTGCATCTGCATAAGAAAGAAGCACTAATTCCCTTGCACACACATGGCAAGCACTGCCTTCAAGCAAAGCAGCCTTCTGATGATCCTTCGCGATGTTAGCGGAGTGATTGATGCCTTTAAGGCTCCGCAAGTCGCGGGCGTAAATAGCCTCTGCACACTCTGCAAGTCACTGCTTGTAGCTGGCTTGGGCTGTCGTAGCGAAAATCCGGGGACGAAGCCGCAAAGAAAACATCCAACGGGACTTCGGTTTCGGCAGCCCAGTCCGGAATGGAGTCCGCCGAGCACTTGCTGAGGGTGATGGTGACTTTCACGAGTTCCTGTTTCTAGGAAGCCCATCCTTTCAGACTTAACCTCTACAGAGCATCATGGCCACTCGAGATGCAGGCGGCTATTCTACATCACATAGGCTGCAAGGAGGTGTCGGGTCCTCTCGAACATCATCCTCACCTTGCGCGCGGTGCAGTTCACTACACAAGACGACTTTGGCCTCTCGGGACTCGCACTGGTCACTGAGAGCACCACCGTGCGCAAACCAACAATCAGGCTGGCCGCAGCTGCCGTTGGCCTCGTAGCGCCAACCTCAGCGGACATGCAAACAGCAGCCAGGCACAGGCTGCAGACTGCGGAGCCCCTGGAGTTGGAAGTTTCAGGGGGCGCGCATGGAGCTGACCAGGAAACTGGTGACAGTTCAGGTCCGTCCGGATTTGTGTATGGCTGGGGTGCGGAGCTCTTCACAAGCTCCACTTGCCTGCTTGCTTCGTGTCGTAAAACTTAGCGGGAACACAACCTCTACTCACTTTGGACCAACGAAGCTAGTTTGTGCTGTTTCCATCCTTCTCGCCTGCAAACGGCGTTGTACGAGCGGAGCTGCCGGCCACAACACTGGCATCGTTGTGCAGAATGCGTTGGGATCTTCGAAAAGGCTGAATCGGGCCTTCACCGGTTGGCACCTGTGACTGAATCGGCTGGATCGTCTGAAAAGGCTGTTGCACCGACCCGCCTGGAGTCCGTTTTTTTCGCGGCTGCTTTCGTGCATGAGTCAGAGCCGATTTGCAGAGAGGCCTCATTGCTTGACGTCACGTTGCCTACTGGCCAGCTGCACGCTGAGCCTCATCCTTCGTGTCGACTTGCAACTTGCACCCAACTTCCTCTTCACACCCGATACCAGCAAGCCTCTAAGGTCCAGCCCACGGGCCATTTTGGACGTCCCCCACCCCACCCCAGCCCAGCCCAGCCCACCCCTGGAGCACTGCGGCTACAGCATTACAGCTGCTGCAATCACACGAGCTCACTGAAACATCGGTGTAACATTGAAATTTTGCGAAGAAGCCCTTTCCATTTGCAGCTTCTTTCGCGAATCTTCAAACCATGTAAAGAGGTCCCCTAGTATACAGTGGCATAAAGACTCTTCCAACCAGCCTCAGACAGGACTGCTTACCAGTAGCCGCTTGGATGCGTGTGTTGGATTACATGGATTACATAAAAAGGTTTGGTTGAGAGTTCGTTGTGATGCTTGCGTTCTTTCCTGGGCACGGAGGGGGGGGGATACCGAGACATGCTCCTGTTGGCGGATCTGACAGATCGACATTGCTGAGGATATCGGAACCGCATTGCGAAAAAATCGGCTCAAAGCAACAGCGTTCGAAAAGTACATCCCCATTCCTGAGCCCTCACACCTCCGTGACAATTGCAATGTGTGCAGAAACAAGCCCTTACCCGAACCTCCCGAACCTGAAACTCCAAGCTCAGACTGGGCACAAAGTTGTATCTTCCGTTTCATCCGTTCGTTGCTTTCGATGTGCGTTACACGACCATAGCCTGTCCACAGCTCCTGGCACAACACGATTTGCTTCTGGGCGACTATAGCTTGTGGACTGTCAACTCTGCGCGCGTCAAGGCTCGCTATACCTGCCTCGCTGCTTGCTCTGCTCCCGAGTGCTTTTGCTGTGGCTCTGCATCCAAACCCAATCTGCAGCTTCGAGTTGAGCCTGTTACTTATGGCATGGACCTCTTCGATGAAGCCGAAGTGGCAAGCGGACTCAGAAGGCTTAAGGCTGCGATCCCTCAGGCTTACTGAGCGGGCTCCTGGTTCTGACCACTGCGCCAAATGATCGCCAGGTGTCCTTCCTCCCAATTCCGCATCATTTATTGGGGGAAGCTGTGGGAATGAATGTGAGCATCGTCAGCATGCAACCACTCTGCTTTCACCACCATCACCGACATCCATGACCCTAAGTAGGAGGGTCCAAGACGCTCTTGCCATCTCTTGGCCGGTCCGGTCCTGCAGGCGATGCAAGCCCTGCAGGCCACGGTAGCAAGCCGGCACCTGGGAGCATCTTGTCCGAGGATCGCGCCCACTCTTCTGGCGACACGAAATCCCAAAGGCCCATGCAAGGACCCACCCCCGAACAAGAGTTCAGAAAGATTCTGCCTGCACTTGAACGCAGATGCCATCTCTACGGCCTGGCCGAGGCAAGGAGCAACAAACAACCGCTGTGTTATAGTGCAAAGGGCCCGGAGTTTTCAACTGAGGCCATGCTTTGGGGATAGGTCAGGAACCCACCAAGTGCCTCTCCACCATTGGCTTGATAGTCCCCGGCATGATGTCGTCATGTAGTAAGGAGGCAATGCTCCTGAGCTCCCATCAGTGACGATCACGAATAACGTCTGGTAAACAACTGCAGGACTGGCGGCCAAGGGGAATCGCAGGCCTACGCTACTTTGTCCCGAGCTGCTGGCTCGTGGCATCAAGGCGGCAGCACACATTCGCGACAACTGCACCTTCCAGTGACCAGGAATGGCAATGCCAACTGACTACATAGCATCGCGCCCGGTTTGAGCGACATTGACTTATGACCGGTTCTTCCAACATTCCGGCCCCGAGCCGATGGCAACATGGCTTCGATTCGACCCGGCGTAAATGGGACAGGGGCCAAAGGATCCCTGGGCGCATGACCTGCCTTACATGCCTACTTCTTGACAGCCCGGCTTGCCCGACCTGCTCCCAGACGGAGCCCCAGAGGACACCCTCGGAATGCATCTTCCTCGCTTGCCGCAGATCGGGGAAGGGTCCGAAGACTTCCTTGGCAAAAAGCCGTCCCTTAACCCAGCTGCATCAACTTCCAGTTGGTCTCAAAGAACACTTGCTTAAGATTCCAGGCTGCCGGGTGCTGCCGGGCCAGAATTGCATGTCGCAGCAGGTGGCCATTCGGCATATCCATGAAAACTGCAGATGCCGTCAGCCGGTAAAGTGCTACCTGAGGCGCATCCGGAATGTGACTCACATAAAACACCGGTGCACAGTTTACTCTTCCAGGGAGTCAGGGAGCTGGGCTTGAAACATCTAGAGCCAGCTGGGCCACCATCTTGGTCTTAAACGGGCACAGCCTTGGCACGCGGGGAATTCGAGGTGCAGAGCACAGTTCACGATGCTACGGTTCGGTGCTAAACAGCCGCCAGGAGGCTCCAAGCTCTGCCCGTCCTCCAAGTTGCGGAGGATCGCCTAGCGAAATGCAACAAGTCTCAATATCATGCTGCGCAGTGAAACCACAGAATCATCAAGAAACCGCACGAGTGGAAGGTTTCCTAATCAGGTGTGTGAAGGATACTGGAACTGTCTACGATGGCGGCCGATGTCGCGCCCCTTGGATTTGCTAGCGCACCTGCCGCCCAAGCAACCCTCTGAGAACAATCGCCGCACTCTGTAGCTC